GGTCTAGATGTGCCTGTTAGGGGTCTATATGTGCCTGTTAGGGGTCTATATGTGCCTGTTAGGGGTCTAGATGTGCCTGTTAGGGGTCTAGATGTGCCTGCCAGGGGTCTAGATGTACCTGTTAGGGGTATATATGTGCCTGTTAGGGGTCTAGATGTGCCTGTTAGGGGTCTAGATGTGCCTGGCCGAAAACTAATGGCTGAGTATTGCTGATTGGCAGCGTTTCTTATTAAATATGAATAACGAACCAGAAATACTTAGAAGTCGTACATTTTGTGTCTAATTTGATAGCTATTTCGAAATCATGTATATTTGGGTGTGCCTATCCGTTTTACAGTGTACCACTTCCCGTCAAAATATGTTCCATCCGAACTGTTCCAACCGGAAACGCAAAAACTAAAGAAATAATAACTAAAACTGTGAACTCGACAGAGGAAAAGAAAGATAATCTGATAAACAGATAGATTAGAGATTAATAGTCACATGACCGTAAGTATCTGTATAGACGACAAAATCTACAAATCGGATTCCAAGTCTCAAAGGACTCCCGAAAATAATCCCCAAAAAAACAAGAATACCTAAGAATCTGCAAAACCATCATTCGAGCTTAAACCAGTACTACTATTGCAAAATATGAGCTAAGAAAATATTAAAATGGAAAAACTTAAAAAAGTACGAAAAGAATAGGGCCAGGTGTTCCGAAAGGGTAAGCGTATTTTGCTTTATCGACGACCCCTGCCATTTAAATATATGTCAAATCCAAACAAATGTCACGTTATCATACCGCAGATGGGGAAAGTGTAGTTAGCGACAGTAAAACCGCAAAGCAAACTAATGAGTTTAATAAAATCATCCGTCTATACATCACATGAAAGAACATGTTTCCCAATGATGACAATCATAAAACTTGCCCATATTCTTCATAAACAAGAATCTTCACAAAACTGTGTTGTAAGTTTGTCCTACAGCAGTCGACCTCTTTCACAGAAACCATGTTATTCGGTGCAGGCTCTTAAATACAAAATCAACAGCAACATACCAACATCGTATGTTGGGGGGAAAGTATGTGTTTATCAAGCGAAGGAAAACTTACGACCGGTGAATTCGTCGCGCTATCTTACAGCTTATTACAATGCCATTAGTCATCTTATTTATTATTCAAAAATGTTGAATATCTAAAGCGTTGACAAAAAACATCTAAAATATGTTTATTTAATTGGCATTTATAGGGCCAAAACTAAGAATTTGCATGTAGCATTTTCATCGTAATGGCACTCATGAGAAATATGTTTTCGATTAAAAGGCGAAAATAAACTTCATGAATCGTCTTTAACTCTTTCCGTACCGCAACTTCGGTCCGGATTCCGTACCGGATGTACTTATTAGACTCGCCCCCGCGCATATAACAAAATGGCGGATTATTAATGTACTTTTTAGACTCGGTGTAACTGCCACAAGAGTTAAACAGGTAACCGTGAACAAATATTGTTATTGTTTCATGTTCTGGTTTATAGACAAACACTTCTTCATTTTCGCAGCATAATGACTAGCTGGCGGCTGATTATGGCTGAGAAATCGACATTTGTCTGGCAATAAACGATACGATTCCTTGTACTTAACACAGCGTTGTAGTGCAGGTTTCCAATGGGGATTGATTATGGTTACGAATATGGAGTCATTGAGTTTTTTTCTAATTACAAGTAGATTTCATCAAGACTTATTTAGAATATTCAAATTTACTTCCATAAGTCTCAACAAATACCTGATGATGAATTTACGAGTGTTCGTATCGAATTAAGTTGCCGCCATCTTGTTTACATTTGAGGCTCCAAAGGCAAACATCTTGCGGCAAATGCGAAAACATTAAGTCAAATAATAAAAAAGTATACTCTGCACAAATAAAATTATTTCCTCCAAACTGATGGGTTCTGATTTTAGCGACAATTAATTGTTTTTTCGCGACAGTCTCGTGCGATAACCAACTAAACATCAGGCAGATTACATCAAAGTCTCGTGTCGTGTGTACACGACAACGGGGATCAGGATGACATATTGTTGTCGTGTGTACACGACAACGGTACGGAAAGAGTTAAAAAAAACAGTATTAAATATTTTGGCAAATTTAGCAAACTAAGCGAGTGGCCCTCCTTTCTCGTTCGGACGTTCACTTCCGTACGTGGTGGTTGGTTATTTGCTGTAAGCGTAAGCGACCGATAAGACATGTGTTGCAATGCTAGGTTTTATCTTATTTGATGATTTAAAGTTTTTGTATACTTAAAATAGCTGTAAATTCGTTGAAATGATACAATATTATGGATTTATATTATTCAGAGGGCAGGATTCCAAAACGTTATAGTGTTTGAGAAGGAAGATAAAGTAGGCGGAAAGTCGAAGACTCTTACTTACCGAGATGTAGTTCATGAGATGGGAACATGTTATACCCAGCCGGATTACACAGAGCTGTACGAACTTCTAGAAACTTACGATGCTGGAAATCTGATTCCGGTACCTGGTGTCACAGTATGGAGGGGAGAAGGTAAAATAACCGTGAAATTTTCGCCAAGTCAAACATCCTGACCTCGTAAAAAATTCAACTTTAATTTATTTACCAATTTCTGTCATATAGGTTAATTAGGGCCATCAGTGCTCTTGCGTAGATATCCTGCCATAACAACAAACGTGCGTTGCTATGCAAAAATAGCCAAACAAAAATGAGTTTTGGGTTGGTTAACATACAGAAATGAAAGCCTCCGCATGTGACAAACAAAATATCGTTTCTACAAATGAACACTTGTATGGCAATCTTTTAGCAGGTCAAACATTTATTTGTATGTTGCATGTGGTATATGGAAGTGTAGTGAAAGGTGAGGTTAGTATAATTTAATACAGAAGATGGTTTTGTGAAGTAATGAGCCGAGGTTAATAAAAGGTGATTTGTACTGTATCAAGTTAAAAAGCTTTCAATTTAGATTAAAAAAATATATTTATTTAGATAATCCGCTTTTTATACCCAGCGAGACCCATACTCGTTACCAAGCAAGAACAAACTAAAATGTCGGCACATCCTTAGAAACTATAGTCGGAAGAGGCTTTTTTTTCTTAATCTTATTTGAAAGCTTTTTAACATGCACTGTCATCTTAAATATAGAAAACGTAAGTGTGACGTAATGAAGAATACTCATGGGATGTAAAAGTGACAGTAAGTTTAGCGCACGTTAGTGAAAGGTAATTTAGGATGTTGATGTGGAGGGATGTGTCCTGTTGAGAAGAAGGTACTGCCTGGAAGGTAAATATGAAACGTGCGAGATGGAAAGCAGAGTTTAGTGCTAGATAAAACAACGGCATGAAATTACATAGGTTGCTCATTAAGTCTGCGTTGAGTAATTACTTTGTTCAAAACTTGTAAATTTAAAGCGATATGCTTTCCACGTATTACGTAGCATCTAATTAAAAATAGGATTGTTCATCACTTATTCTCTAAGCGACGTTGGTATAAAATGTTTGTGTCGAGAATAACCATACGGCTTTCTCATGGTTTATAAATTATAATGGTTCCTTATTTGCTATTACAGTCATGATTCCAGGACAAGTTAACACACTAATCCCTGTCGCCCAAAGCTTGCCCGAGAATGCGACTGTTGAAGATATCCAAAACGCCTTCCTTGCCGCGGTTAACCGATACGTAACTGTTCATCAGCAATTATTTGGAAATTACTCCGGTGAATTGATGCCTCGTCCGGATGAAAACGTATTTAAAAAGGAACTCAACATGACGTTTTTGCAGTTTTTGGAGAAGTATGAAGCAGAATCTCTTGCACAAATCTTTCTTCAGGCGCACACAATCCAGGGCTATGGCCACTTGGACGAAATTCCGGCATTGTATGGATTGACATGGTTGACCCCGAACTTTCTATTAAAACTTCTAGACCCTCCACCAGAAGAAGTATCGTATATCAAACTACTGAGTAGAGGTTATCAAACGGTATGGGAGGAAATTGTTAGACAGGAAAACATCGACGTTAGACTTTCCAGTCCTGTCCGAAAGATATTTCGAAAGGGGAAAAAGGAACGAGGAATGAGAAGAAAGAACCGTTCGGAGTTCACTATACTATATGATAATGCTTACATCTACGGACGAACAGAAGAATTTGACTTTCTGATACTGACCCCCGAGATGAAACTGCTATCCGATTTAGAAATCATTGACTTCAACGAAGAGGAAAGTGCCCTGTTTGAGAAAATGAACCATTATTATTACGCAACGTCACTGGTCGATACTACATACGGAGGTCGTAGGGGGTTAACGCCACAAAGCTACTTCGCTGATAATGTGGAATCAAAGGAGGACATGAAAGTTTGGGCTAAGCGAGACTCATATAACAGCCTCGTATATAATGTAGGAGAGAATTACACCAAAGGCTTGGTTCCCGGAGCTCCAGATGGAAAATTCATACAAACCTCGGTATATTATCAATTCTCAAAAGCAAGACCTAACGAGACAGATCTAGAGAACGAGTTAAAGACACACATTGAAGATAGAGAGGAAGCAACTGTGTTGAACATCCGCGATGTCTTCATATGGGATTACTTTCCACAGTTCTCCGTTGCTGACATTGCATCAGGAATAACATGGGATATATTTGACATCCAGGGAAAGCATAAAATTTGGTATGCAGGATCCTCTGTGTATTTCGAGTCAGTTAAATCTGTTTTGGAGTACAACAACCTGATATTCCGTCAGTACCGCCTGCCCGAAGAAGAATAGTACCTCAACAAAAAATTGATTTCCATTTCGAAGCAGACCAGATCTAGAATATATTACAGATCATTTACTTCAAAAGTATGAGCTTATGCTACAGTTATATCATATCAAATATCTAAAATAGTGTAACGAGTTTGGAGCCATATTTCTTTTACGTCAGTATATATAGTTTTATACAGTAGCACAAAAAGAAAGAACCCGAGCGCTTTACCCCGGCAATATTGTATTAAAACCCTTCACCGACCCGTACGGATTCGTTGTTTTCAATGAGACGAAATCGATCAACAACTAAATGGCATACATGAGTCACCCAGGTGACAGATTTTGATCGCCTTTCATCCATCGTCATGTTGTGCGATGTGGTCGTGCATTAACAATAACATTTTCTTCTCAGAAACCGTCAGTAAGATTTTAATGAATTTTATTAAATTATTAGCCAATTATGGGGATGGTAGGGATCATCATCGTTACTCAAAATGAGTCTGCCTCCAAGGGATTGAGGGTTTGGACAGTAATTAGTCACAAAGTGTAGAAACCTTCAAAAGACTTCTCCTTTGTAACTTACCGTAATGGGTTGGTGCTTTGATAACTTGGATAAGATTTTACGCTCAAAAGACCTCTCCTCTGTAACTCACCGGTAGTTTTTCACCAGCAGTTTATGAGTTGATGTTTTGATAATTTGGATAAGATTTTACATTTAAGAAAGGACTGACACCAATGGGGCTCATAGTGGGTCATTTAGTGCAAAATCTGAAACAATCATGTTTTTGACCCGTCGTCAGAAACTGGGATAAGCATCTATACTTCTGGTAGATCGGGTTCATAACAGGTCATATTGCGTTTTGTCCAAATAGTGAATTGCATTACTAAAGGATTATTAGTTCCCGTTAAGGAGGAAATATATATACATTTTTAAATATTTATGATGGTATTTAGCGCCTCTCTAAACATGGATTTATGTGGGTCATTCCCAAAAACTCTTTTTTAAACGCAAATCACAATAACAAGTAACAAGTCACTCAGGTGACCGCTAAGGCCCATTTGCTTCTCGCTTAACAGAACAACTGTTATGATAGTGAAATTAAGTATATAATGTATTTTATGCAGAGAAAAGGTATACTTATTTATCTTATATTTCTATTTTGTGACTACACTCTTTCGCGATTGATGTTTCCTGCGAATTTGTATTGGGTTAATAACTTCTTTCAATATTGCAAATAGCATCTCAATCACTGGTTCAAGTACATACAAGTAAAATTTCCAGGTTGATTTCTCGAAATAAAGTTGAATAAAGTGATTACATTAATATTCTGATCAAATGCAGTTATTGTATGTTCCATTATTTCATTATTTCATTATTTCTGTGATTGGTCCATTTTGAAAAAGTGTCATTGAAACTTTCTTTCAGAAAGATTTGGATAAAATGCAAGCACATCCATCTCTACAATTGTAGAATGTATTTACTCTTATAAAGTTTACTATAATCTTGTATGTGTTATCTTGTGTAATATATATAGTATCATTTATATAATAAATATGCATGCATTGTGAAATAGTTATTGTATTTGTTTGACATTTTGGTACGCATTTTCACTGTTAAATGCTATATAAATACCATAGGAAACACGCCAGATTCTACTGTTTCCCACTGTATGATAGTATTTGGAGTCTCCTGCAGAATCAGGGTGTTTCTTTCGAGTCGTCTACAAAAAAGAAAATGGAAGAGACCAAAATTGATTCACTGTCCTCATTGCGATACTTGGAATCTTTTGTCGTTTCCTATCTTTCCTACATTCTATCTAACAGTGTCATCACATTGCACTCGCTGTTGTGAAGAGATTAAAATCATATACAGGCAATTAATGCCCTTTATTTGTTTTCTGGAGCTTGTTATGCAAATACATTGTATATGCCGCTGTCGTGCCTCACGTTTTGTATCATAGTATAGAGGTCTTACACAAAATTGCGTTTTTGCGTGTTTCAGACTTTTGACGAAAGAAGCCTTTCTCTATATTTTTTATCCTAAAAATCTGGTATCATTTATGGAAAGTTTATAATTTGTACGACCTTGTACGGGATGGATTTCATCAATCTCATATTAGATAAAAGCGAATTCAAAATTCTTTTCAAACAATCAAATATTTTTGCCAAGGTTATGCATTAAAATGTTGAATGACATTACTCTCACATAACAGCTGACAGAACTATTGTGATACAGTTATTTAATAGTTGATAGACTGTTAAGAAAGTGTCAATCACAACGGACAAAACTATTAAAATAAAGTCAATAGCAGCTGACAAGACAATTAAAATAAAGTCAATAGCAGCTGACAAGACAATGGTAATATAATTAATCAACAGCTGAGAGGACTATCGTCAGAAGTTATCAAACAGCTGAAAAGACCCATACAGCATAGTCAAATAATAACTGACAGGACTATTGAAATGAAGTCATTTGACAGCTGACAAACTTATAAAAAGGTCAATTAACAGCTGACAAGGTTATTAAAATATAGTCAACTAAAAGTTGACAAGGCTATTATACAAGTCTAGTAAAATATAGGCAATACACAGCTTACAAGACTATTATAACAAAGTCCACCAACAGCTTACAAGGCTAGTAAAATATAGGCAATACACAGCTTACAAGACTATAATAATAAAGTCCACCAACAGCTTACAAGTCTAGTAAAATATAGGCAATACACAGATTACAAGACTATATTAATAAAGTCCATCAACAGCTTACAAGTCTAGTAAAATATAGGCAATTAACAGCTGACAAGACTATTAAACTATAGTCAATTAACAGCTGATCATGAAAAGACTATCAAATGATAAGATTATTATCACATTATGTGAAATCACATTTTTTCGCAGAATTTGTAATTTTTTTCCGTGGGTACTTTTCATCCACAGACTCATATGTCCACAAGGTTATAACAAGTTTTCCACAAGGGTATTTTCCGTATGACTCGTGTTTTGCCGGCTAGATGTATACAAACCGCATAATTATATATGCAAACACGTGTATACCCAAATAATATTGAGTGTACAATGACTGGTGTGTTCTTTTGCGAAAAGTATGAAATTGTTGCCCCACGATTACAACTGTACCTTTGATTTTACAGTAGTGAAACACCAGCTGACAGGACGATCTCCACATAGCTGAGGATATTATCAAATCATCAAACAAACAACAGAAACATTGTATCATAGTATGTGTTTCCAAATCACAAAAGTTTTTGCATTATGTTATTGACGTACGAACGCATGACGCACGCTGAACGACCAGAGAAAAAGATGCTATACGATCGTAGGACGAACTCGGTACGAACACAAGCCTACTGATAGGACCGATTGGGCCTAACGCTGCTAGAACGGCCGCTTCCCGAACGGGCGAGGTACGCTCGCTACCGGCCGATAAACTGATACCTGGCCGTAATAATCTCATTATTTGAATAAAAAAATATCTTAATGGAACAGTCGTTCTAATATTTCAAAGATTAACAATGCAAGCTGGCGTTAAACGTATCGACCATCCATCACTCAGTGAGAAAGCTGTATATAAAGAGGCATGCAAACCAGCACTATCATGAAGCATTTATTGTTTTATCAAACACCTACGCGGGTAAGTAAGCTGTTAGAAACACGATCATCTAAATAAAATGACAGCATTTGAGGTTTCGTGCTCACAAGTGCCAAGGGTTAAAGTTAACGGTTATCACCTATGTATTATTTCCATATCCTACCACAGGAACTGGCGACCTAGATTTGTTATGACGAGGGTTGTAATGGGGGATAGGATGCGTGTTTCATATCGCACAAAAATGAGATTCAATGACATCATATTGTGATAATAAAACTGAACCATACTCTTTCTAGTCGTCTCTGGACAGAGACCTATTTTCCCCAATGACCGCATTACTCAATTTTCGAATCATACAGACATGTCTCCGCGTTGTGACGTCATTAATACACTGTATCAATGATCATAATGACCAAATAAAACAGTGTGTTTCAAATATTATTTTATGATAGTTAAATAAACATGTTATATTAATTTGGTAAGAACTTATACAAAGATGTTTTACCGTTATAGTTTCCACGGACTATATTTCGAAAATTCAGTCACATGAAAAGTTACGTGCTACATAATACTGTTCGTCCAGTGCTATGGAAGGGGATCACCGCCATAATTATTTTTTATAGAATTAGTTNTAGAATAAATTCTAGAATTTTAGTTCCTCATTAAGATGACAAGCGGCGCTCCATCATAAACGATGTCGAAATCGCGATCGGTAAAACTAGCATAGCATGGAATGAACACGCAATAGATTTGTAAACGAGTGAAACAACACAAATGTACATAGCATGGAAAATAGACACTAGACTAATAAACTAGAGAAATAATACAAATGTACATAGAATTAGATTCTGTGTTTGAACCTTAGAAAAGCAGAAGGACATGTATGTATAGATTAGTTATACTACTTACGCCGACTTGATTGGGAAAATCACACACGCGAACTCANGTACATTGGTGTTGTTGTACTCGTTTACAAATCTATTACGTGTTCGTTCCATGCTTTGCTAGTTTTCATTCCATGCTATGCTAGTTTTACCGATCGCGATTTCGTGTTAGCTTGTAGTATTCAATCCATTCCAGACTTACGTGTTTCGTCATTTTTGTAAAAACAGAAATTCGAAACAGACTTTTAATTCAGAAATAGCTAGCTAGTCAACTAGTAAACGAGTAGTTATTTATTTTATTTAGTATCTTCTCAGATTTGGCAGTCTGATCNGGGGAAATAATACAAATGTACATAGAATTAGATTCAGAACCAGAAGTAACTAATTCTATAAAAAATAATTATGGCGGTGATCCCCTTCCATGCAGTGCAACATTCAAAGGGGCCCTTGGTTGGATTTTGATTCTTTATATCGCTATTACTGTTTTAAAGGACAGAAATATGAAACTGCTTTCTTTGGTACATGTGTTAGTTTACTCTAATGCAGTGGCTATTTATGTTGAATATGAATAGCATTTTAAATCGAGTTCAAGCTTAAATATAATATAACTCAGAATTTATCTTTCTGCCTTCTTTTTTTCGTTCATTATATATATCTGTATATATTCTACTCGTTTATTTTTTTGCGTTTAGCATGAACAATCATATTTGAAACGACCGAAGTTAACGTTTTAAAGTTTGTATTTTAGTTGTGTTCAAAACGTGGGCGTTTGTGTATTACATGTAATTACATGTACACATGTACAAATTAACACTAACAAAATTATGAACTCGAAACTCAAAAGTTGATACAACAATTTATCACTATAAACCAAACGATGGAAATTTAAACGCCTAGGGATGTTATTTCAAGGGCGATAACTCGCGTATGAACACTTGCAATTTGAATTGTTTTTTTTTACTGTAGCTAAAGTCATAACCAATAGATTTTGTTAGCGTCAGTCTGTCCTGATAACGTTAAGACGTATATATGAAAATGAGGAATATAACTTAAAGAAACAGGTAAAATCAATTACCATCTTGATTACTTTATTTCTGGGAGGATATGAGCACACGTTTAAGAAATTAAATTAAAAAAAAAAAGAAAGAAAAATGAGGAGAGGATATTTTTATTTAGCAGTCAAGACGTGTCTCTATACCTTCCTTTTTTATCAACCTGCTGTTTTAGTTTCCTTGGGGAGATGACACAATCCATCCCAAACATAGGGTAATGTCACAGCGAGTATATAAACATCCTATTCTCCTAAACAACGCAAGCATGCACACTAATGGATTCACGATACAAATGTGTAACAGTTGCGTTAAACTGAACGGGGGTTTACATCACCACTCATTGAAATGAGGATAAGATTGGAAATTCGATAAATTGATCGTTCAAAAACATTCTCCCCTACATATAAAAAGTTCAGCATTTTATGAGTACAACTAACGCGTACACATTTGATCTAATCGCTTCATCACTACACGTTGAAGCGGGGGTCAAAAACACCGTATTGATGTTCAAACAATGTCGCCAAGCCGGGACACCACTGAGCAGACATGCTGACTAATATCCGAATAGGATTGTAACAACTTAAAGTAACATTTTATCTCTATCCAAAAGATTAATGATGTTTTTTTAGTAAATATTGTGTTCGTTGCTTAACGACGGGAGAAATGTAATCCCAGATATGACACGCAGGAATTTTCAATAAGGAAGCGTGCTTAAACGAATAGTATCCGACTGCTTTAAAAGAAAGACGGCAGTACGAGTTGAGAGAGGGCCTGCTTTGGAGCTTCAAACGGCATCATCGTTTCGAACACACTTATCAAGGTAACATTTTACAGGTTTTATATATAAGCAAACTGTAGCTGGTTTGTTAAGAACGACGTATTAACTATATATATGCAACAGAGGAATGGTTATTTTAATTTAATTTGTTTCAATTAACACCTCCCGTTGCCATTAGCAATCCTTACTACAACACTTCAGGGTAGAGAGTACTGCAGCTTTTGTACATTTAACAGACATATTAATATATTCCCTTGTATTTATATGATCCTCTGTTTATTCATACAAAAACGTTTTCGGCGCCTGGCAGTCGAGATAATTTTATTATAAGGAATATTTTATAAATTTCCCCAGAAAATATTGAAGAAAGAATTATTATCGTACTACATACCATGACAGGCATAAAGATGATAAGCTTCTTGATCTTTATCATGGATGGGGATCGAATATACGTGGTGGAGGCTTTTTTGAGAAAAGACATTTGGCAAATATATTTCTTTCGTGAGTCTTTACTTTAGTCAGTGGGCAAGCAGATTCATGCCAAAGAAAAAGCCCAGCAACTTTGCGTTTTCGGGGAAACAACATGGAGAGCGGGACTCGAAGTCTTTAAACAGGTGTTCAAGTTGAATGGCATTTTGACATAAAATTATTTACAGTATTAATATCTACGCTTGTTTCTTAATCTCCTTTCATTTATACATTTTATGATTTATAAGGTATAAGTGGTTCACTTACACTGTACTGTAGCTGTTTCATGACAAGATGCGTTTGCTGTGTCGGCAGATGAAATAAAATAATATCCAGAGTGTTTCGAACTTAACTCGAACAGATAATTAACATGGCGGAGGTGTTTTATACATTACGGAGAGTTGTTTTATGTGACAAAAAAATGAAGGTTTGGGTGGTTGGTCGGGTGGGGGAGATGTAAAAACAAAATAAGAACAATGATCAAACATAATCATTTACAATTCATTGTTTATTTTATCTACTTCTGTTGTTGTTTTGGAATTGAGAAGACCAGATTCCGATTCCTGAAATTGAAAAAACGCTGATCCCTTTTATAATTATTATTTTGGTATTTGGGGTGCTGGTACTAACAGTAAGGTTGTATGTACAAGGTATTAGACCAGTTGTGTTGTTTGATATTTTGACACACATATATGCAGTGTATTTTTGGTTTATTCATTGGCTTTGTCAGAAAATACACTACAATTCAATATTCTATAACAAAAATGCTGATGTAAAAAAAGATATTTATTAAAAGATAAAGTATGAGTTTATTGATTCAATATTATGATACAATATTAAGTTGCTGATATAAGTTTGGTTTATCTATGTTCTACGGCAGAACCAAAACACCATGGTAGATGATTAAATACATATATGCTGTTTTGCATTGGTAAAGAAATAGAGTTTAAATGTATATGCAACAAAATAGGATAAGTCAATATTGAATACTGTAAAAGGGGAAATTTCCGTGGTATTGAAATGCTCGAGATTTTTGCCTTCGGTAAATAAGCTCGAAAATCTCAACACGCGTATATTTCTTAACGTCCGCACCGCAAACAGTTTGAAGAGTTGTAAAGGGAAGACCTTTTTTTTACAGTACGGCAACTTATTGACTTGCAGTTAGGAATGAAATAACTCTTGCGTTAAATATTCACGTGACATCGTATTTTGTTTCAGATGAAATACCATACTGTTATGACCGTCCTTCTAGTCCTGGGACTTACATTCTCCCTGACAAATGTAGAGGGGGCATCATCAACTACAGGTAAGAACTAATCAAATAGTTACTTTTAATAGTTTGATAATTGCTATGTGATTTGTTTTAATTAACGTATGGTTACATAAGACGGGAGCTTTGATAACATAAAAGGTTTATGTATTTCATAAAATGTGTATATAAATATCATATTTAGTTTAATTTACTACCCGCAATTTACAAACAGTAGAACTACCTTATAATAAAAAGAAATGAGACTGTTTGTTTAAATATAAAGAGTAATATGTTTTTTCCTTTTAAATATTTCTGTTAAGTACCTTGAAATATTTTTCAACAGACTGTGATAGTTAAAATAATCATAAGTTATCTATCACTTACATACGATGTTCTTCTATTCTTATGAAAAGGAGTTTATAACGAGACTATATGGTCAAATACGAAAATAAGTATACACTCTAGTTTCAACATACCAGGACAAATAAAGAACTCTAACATTATACAAAAAGTCAACAATAGAAATCTATTTGACTTAAAAATAACAGCTATAATAATGATATCACCAATAAGCAAACCGGATATAAACAACTCGGGTGTTAAATTTCCTGCACCACTGGCGGCGCCCCGGTATCAAACGTGCAGGAAGGAATGTAAGTTACCAACGGTCTTAGAAAAAAAGAACAAGCTCTCATCCTAGTAGACATGCTATTTTTTTAAATCTAGTTAGATAATGATCATTATCACATTCCCGAGTTTGTATGTTCTTTCCGTTGTACACGTAGGATTTGTGCGTAAGAAGTTATATTCAACTTTTCAACCGGAAACAATAGCATAAGAATACTTTCTCATGTTATATATTGCTGTCCGATTGTTTGTATGTTGTTGAATATAAAAAAATAATGAATTCTTATTTTTTAGATATATTGTTTTGGCTAGTTTTTATTATAACTGTTAAACCAACACAAACATATTTCGGAAATTTATTTACGAACTACATTCGCGAAATTAAGCAGTGGCTAGTAGAAGTTTTTAACACAAGTATCTATTTTAATATCATAACAGTGATGCTTTCTCTTTTTTTGTGGATGTTTGAAATATAGCTGTTGCTTTTTCTTGTAAAGAAAAAAACAGTAGACACGCTTTTGATCGAATAATCTTACGGTAAGATCACAGACACAGGTTATTGTAGAAAGCAAAATATCACAGTTGGACATTTTATCGCAGATAAATGCCACTAAGATACTGCGAATAGATTTGGTGTTATTGTCCTATCTTCATTTTTTTAATTCTTATATTTAGAAACTAAAATGCAATCATCTAATTTCTTGAGCTTGACATATAAGACCCCGCAGATACATTATTCAGCTTCACATATTATTTGTACTAATATGACATTGATAGCAACAGTGTAACCTATGTGACAAACCTATCAACTTTTATTTTACGATTGTTAATTAACTTTCCTTTCCTCAGTAGTAACATACCCCTCACCACTACCTTTGGTTCGCATGTCAAGGTTTATTTGCTACGTCGAATATGTTTAAAGAAATGGGACTATTTGACTAAACTAAATGCAAAGTCTGCTTTGAACAGATATTGTCGAAAGCTAGCAAAATAAGTTTTCAAATTTTGTTTGCATTCAAAACAAACTTAGTATTTATTATTCTGAATCTCATTCCGAAAATTGACTAGACTAGTTAACAAAACACTATGTAAGCGGTGTTATCTATCGGAGAGGCATAAAGCTTCACAAACCCATTTTAATGGTAACAAATGTACATATACAAATGTATTCATTTGTTGCTCGATAGAACTAAAATCATCTGCAAATGGCGTTGTCCTTGTGTTTTGTTTTTGCTTTGTATGTCTTTTCCTATTTGAAAATTTTGTTGAAATAAAACATAAAATCGTGCATTATAACTAAACCATCAACCTTAACAATCGTGCAATCCTCAATTATTTGTCTATAAGGTAAAAGTTTTTTAGATATCAAATTCAATGTAAATTTACAAAGCACGCTTGGAATTTAAATGAAAGGTTGAATCAGGTTTCGCCGCCAGTTTCTGCAAGGCTTATATGTCTGTTTGATAAAATGTGCCTGTTTGTTTATTTAACAGTGGGAACGGGAGGCGGTAGTTCTCATACAAATTCAACTTCAGCAAAGGCAACTACCGCGCCGAAACACAATAGCGCTATGTCATTGTACGCCACATCATTCATCCATTTCATTCCATTGATCCTCGGATACCGTCTGTTAAATTAGCAGTCAACGGGACAGGCAGCATGACCGACCAGACGAGGAAAATCAATCTGGTGACGCAAGCTTCCGGTTTTTACTATTCAAAAACTAATTAATCTTACATCGTGTGATTATTTGATTTACTCTGTATACATGTTTATTTCACTTATCTACGGACGATTTATTTATTGGCTAAAACGTTTGAATTAATTGGAGTATGTGAAGCACGTGTGATAAAGAAACACAGTATTGGTCATTTTTACATCATGTTCTGTAGTTGTGGCAAAGTCTAGTCTTTGTGAGAGTGTGTGACATAATTAAGTGATCGAAAAGATGTCACGTGTTTTTTTTACCTCGTGATAATGACTTTACGGACATATTATGGTATCTGTTGAAGCTTTTTATCGTGCCTTAAACCATTTGTGTGTGATATGGATAAATGTTTGAGCTGTGGTATAAATATCAGCGAAACAGAAAAATGATGAATGGGCTAATTTGACATTGTTGTTGTCACAGCCCTTTCGGAGTATCCATACATAACTTATGTGTTTTTATTTATTAAAACTGTTTTTAACAAATAAAACGTCATTGTTGTATATCACTTTACGTTTCATTTACTATTTAACTAAGAAAACATTTGATAAGCGATGACAAATATCTATTTTTATTGGTTTCATGATATAATATTATTAACCTCCATTTTGGTTAATTGTTATGAATTATGGACTTTAGTTGAGGTGAACATGTCGTTATATGCACATGAGAAAGCGATATTAACCCAGATTTCGTATTCTAACCACGTATTCACCTAAATAGAAGGACGTTAAAAAATACCCCAAAAACCCAAGCCTAAGTAGAAGTCTTTTATTGTTATAATAGATGCTATATAATAATGTTTTAATCATGAATCAAGATAAAATGTATGATGGAAAGTACTGCATTTCGCAGGGAGCATTGTGACGTCACAACTGAACAGACGTCATAAAAATAGTACGCTGAGTCAATATTACAAACCACCTACCTCGACGTGACTACGATTCAACCAATTGGGATATAGGGAACATATGTGTCTTGTAATATTATGATTGATCAAATTTGGAGATTATCTTTTCCGGGATCGAAAGTCTAAAGTAGCATCGTCTTTCGAAAGTTGACATATCATGGTATCGACATCAACATACGTTAATAACTGTATGCCACTTTATATACAAAGTTAGACACGAGAGACGCTGCTGCCCATGGGTGATATGGACATTTCTATGTGGTGAAGAAAACGCTTATTACTTAAATTCCTTAATAATTGTGACAGTATCCACACGTTTATCGATACTATATTTTTGAAAAGCTCTTGGGAAAGAAAAAAACCATTCAGAAACGTTTTGCTAAATAAAATTTGAATAAATATGGCATACCGTACGCGTGATACCTGTTATACATGTATATATAAACTCTATCTATTTTATACAATTATGAAAATTATGATTATGATAATCACTCTTGTTTGCCTGGATGTTAGTGCGCGGGGATCTAATTTATGGTGGAGGAAACCGGAGTATCCGGTAAAAACTCAAATAGTCGGGCAGGTGACGTCATTCCTTTTCACGTCCTATGGGGAATCGAACCCCGGCCACTCTATATGATATTCCAAACGTATCCCCATCTTTGCTTGTTTAGGTAGAGTAATACAGGTCCCATCCATTTAAATTGAACGCAGTGTGCAAGTTGTCTTATAAGAGTAATATTTTCATCGACAAAAAACCCATTTTAATTCATTTTAATTTAACGATTCAAAGAGCAAAATATATTAAAGGTTCAGGATAAAATGAAAGTCAATGTGCTGTGCAAAATCAGGTACCAATAATACAATGACCGAAACAGAACATACCACGACTAGACTGTAATGCATTTGTTCTTGTGTAATTGATTAAATAGTATGCTTATTGAGCGTATTTCCTGTAACAACATTGACCTGTATTATAGTTGTATATTACATGTACCGTATACATGTAATCCTTAACGCTTTTCTATATAACTTAGGTAAGACGTCTGTAGTACTTTAAAACAAAATTGTAACTCGAATTGAAGAAACCCTTATAGTCCTGTGGTTAAATGATAGTATTCAAGGGATCTGATTTGATTAAAAAGATATATAGAAAAAAGGTATTTTGTATCTACTGCCAATGGCAAAACTGCCCATTGAATCGACGCACAAAGATATGCAAGCAAAATGGAAGACACCATGTAAGCACATGATTTCCTGCAAAATGGCGAATGTACGCGTATAGAATTTAAAAATGTGTTATGTTATTTTTTTATCATTTTGAAAACCCTGTTAACGTCACGCAGTCATGTCATGTTCTGTTCATTTCTTTATGCTGCAGAACAGCATTTATTTTATTATTGTTTTTAAATGATAATTGAAATATATTCAGAATATAAATCAATGCAGATTCAAACAAACAGAACATATTTCTTAATATAATATAACCTCGCTATTGATATTAATGAATTTAAATGATAACGATGACATCCAGAATAAAATATCTTGTATTACTTAGACCAATGTTATTTAAACAATATTTCTAAAACGAATTACGATAAAGGTTGCGTTCCTGTCGCTATTGCTTTCTTAGTAAATAATTTGTTAAGCAAAACCAGAACATCAGAAGTATAATACATCAAGCGTAATAGTATACATACCAATGTATCAATGAAATAAATAAGTAAGGAGTATGGATTACGTAGATAGGGACTGCTCGTTCGCTCTGCATTTCATAGCCATTTTGAGTATCTGTGTCTATGTGAATGTTATATATCTCTACATGTTTATGACTATTATCATTGTTATCGTATGCAATTGTAAAAGTATGACGGGAGAAGGCTATGATAAGTTGAAAACACTTGTACCCAATCCCAATTTCAAATTCAATTAGAAATACAATATATTAAAAGTAAAGTAACCATTTTCATAATTACATAAAATCTCTACAACCGAATTGTTAAATTATTATGACAAATACCTGTAATTGGAAACATATTATTATATAAAACATTGTACTTTGTATTGCCCAGCAAAGTGAAATATTTATGATTTATCCTCTCTCCTACAAATGCAAATCGATGAATCAAAACTTCACTACACTGTGATGGATAAGCAGCTTTACACCATTTACAGAAGCTCGCAGACGTGAGAGCCTGCATTTAGTAAGAAAAGAGATTGACAAGTTAGTAAAACAGAGCTTTAATGTGTAAGAAATGACTTTTTTTGTGAGAACCTGATTCATGTTAGTCATATACATTTAACATCTTTCTGCGTCAGGCTGTTATTGAGACATCCGAAAACTTAGTTCTGAGGAAAGGAAAATAGGGAATTATTTCGTGTTAATGAGTGACATTACGGATAACCTCAACTATTCCGTCCCAATACAGAAACACGAAATGCAACAACTTAGATAATATTGAGTTCACCTGAATGACGGATGTATAAGGCCAAACACTTGATAATTCGCGTACATATAGTGCCTTCGCAATATTTTGTTCGTGTTGACATTACTGTAGCACATCTAAACTATGATTCTACCTAGGTACACGAAGCAAAGTTGGTAGGAGCGCCATTACAGAGATCGAAACCTGGTCTGGCCGTGTAGGTTTTTCACACTCAGAACATTTTTAGTGAGGTCTGTTTATTTTATTTTCATTTTGTTCTAATAAATGTTTCGCGACGTATTTTTGATACAGCGAAGATTATAAAAGCTAAAGCCACGGGGAGAAAAATGATTTTAATGTAAAATTTTATAAAGTTTGAGTGTGGTTAGAGGATTAATGGTTAATATAATATTATTTGCGTTTGAACCCGACTTTTCTCCATACTCATTGACGTTATTTTTTCAATTTTATATTTAATTAAGACCCATCGTTCATTCTTTAAAGTAAAAAATAAGTATATCCTTATATCAGGCTTTTTTTATAAAAAATAAGTTTTTGTGGATGAGGTATTTATTAATTCATGGTCTTAAATATTTACGGTGACAACTCTATCTTATGAAAGCTGCGTGTGGCATGTCTTTATGCAACATTATTCGATTAACAAAACTGCAGTTGCACAAAAAATGTGTGTCAATAGATAAAATCATGGACATTCCTTGGTTGTAAACTGTATGCAGGATGTCAAAAATGTTTTTAGATTTTAAACATGCACTTCAGTGTAGTACTGAGACACATATCGATTAATCACATAACAAAAAAGACCTTAACTTGTTATGAAGGATTAAAAGATATTAGTTCGAGGATCAAAATGTTAAAGTCGGCCTCTTCTAATTTACTCCTTTGACAGGTTTAACATGTACCTGAGAGATAGATTAATATAAAATTTCACCTCCATTAGTGCACGTTCGATTGACATACCAACTACAACATATCGTTGTTAGGAAATATAGCCAGACATGTGATCAACAATAAGTGAATTGTATTGTGAAGTAATCGATACTTAACTCGGGTGGATTTTTAAGTAACTGTCAGTGTGATAAATGATTAATTCAATTTTGTTTCAATAACATGAAAGCATCAACAACAGGAATGTCAAGTTAAAATGTTGGTTCCTTTTCATCTTGATTTGTGATTCAATAAGTTTAAGAATTATCACATAAATTATTAACTTACAAATGAGTCATTTCAAAATGATACTCTCCCAGGGCACAATCCCCTGATAAGAACACCTGACATTTTATAAGCACACTCATTCTTAAACGTCCACACATATCGCCCCACAAATATCCCAAATCTCTCTACAAGTTACCGAATTCAATATAATTACGCATCCCCTGACAAGCATACACATCTGTTATATAAGCACGACACATATTATCTTTCTTTGTCTAAACATGCACCCTTCTTGTACCAATCGAATATGATCTTTAACAACAAATATCATCTATAGCCACAAAAATCCCTCCATAACCAGACACCAAACATAGCTCCCAAACCACACATATCCCTCCATAACCAAACACCAAACAAAGCTCCAAAACCACACATATCCCTCCATAACCAAACACCAAACATANCAACAACTAGTAAACGAGTAAGCCAGGCCAGCAGTTGAATACGAGAGGTTTCCTCATACACGGATCGCTCCCCAACCATATCCGGATCACCGTACGGACGCAATGTCGTTATTTGTTTACGTTTTGACTATTGTATTTTTAAGGTTCTTATATTCATTACTGCGTAAATTAAATATATGTTCAAGAACATTTTAATGACGCCGTCAATATTGATGTAGACTGGGACAGTGCGAGAAACATTTTAAGGGCCTGCACAAGAAGAACAATTAGACTTGCTCAAGTCCAGAAAATAATCACATAAACTAAATGCGAGTCTAATATTGACAGAGCGTAGAGCTTTTCTTCCCCACTCCAATACAC